ATATTCTAATAAACTACTTTCATTACGTGCTATATCATACCTTGTATATTTATTTATCCTCTTTTTCATAAAATATGTATTACTTATTACCAAACCTCTTTCTACATATAACTCAATTGAAGGCTCCCCATTTTCATTTAACCCTGGCACCCCAAATTTACCTACTACTCCCTCGACAACATTTTTACCCACTTTAGCAATAAAATACCCAACCACAAGTACTCTCACACTTGGTTCAAAACTCCCCATGCAATCACTCAACATTTCCCAAAATCTCTCTCTCTCCTCTATACTTCTCTCTTCCCCAGGTGCATATACGCTTACTATAACCCACTTCTCACATCCAACCTTTATTTTACTCCACATAATCCTTGAATTAATACATTTATAGTCCCTCTTTTCCTGCCATAGCTTATCCTTCAACATTATTGCTACTTCTTCTTTAGCTCTAACTCTATTTGAAACCCCTGACCTAATCCCATTTATTGCTCTCCACTGAAACTCACCCACCCCCTTCAGCTTTGTTTCACTTAAAGCCAGGATATCCAGCTTCTTCTCATTCATAACATCCACAATCATCTCTTTCTTATCATTCGCACAACACCCACGCACATTCAAACTATCCACTTTGACAATTTTCTTCTTATTCTTTTTAGTAATTATTATAGGAAAAGGGGTTACTAGCCCATTGTTCCCGGCATTTTAGTTGACTTTTACTTTTACAACACTCATGGCTTACAGAGGAAAGATTCTTATTCCACTTCCCCATGGATATAAAAGGAAAAGTAATAAGAACAAGAACTAAGATAAAATCAAAGAAAACTCAGATAAATGTGTATAAATAAACATGTACATGTATGTTTAGTGTGACCTAAGTGTAAGTAGAAGTAGCAAGACGTACCTGTAATCTTGCATATTTATGAGACAGACAAAAGACACCAGCCATCCTACCATCATGTAAAACAATTAAAGGTTTTCGTTTTACACTCACTTGGCAAGACGGTAGTACCTCCCTGGGTGGTTGCTGTCTACCAACCTACTACCTATATCATAGAGTTGATGAGGGAAAAAGGGTGAGTGGTGCACTAACGAGTCTGTGGAGACGAAGAATTTTGTCCGGGGAAGCAAAGGGGAATGTATGAGAGTATAGTTGTACCAACACTCTTGTATGGGCGTGAAGCATGGGTGATGAATGTTGCAACGAGAAGAAGGCTGGAGGCAGTGGAGATGTCTTGTCTGAGGGCAATGTGTGGTGTGAATATAACGCAGAGAATTCAGGGTTTGGAAATTAGGAGAAGGCGTGGGATTACCAAAACTATTATCCAGAGGGCTGAGGAGGGGTTGTTGAGGTGGTTCGGACATGCAGAGAGAATGGAACAAAACAGAATAACTTCGAGTGTGTATAAATCTGTAGTGGTGGGAAGGCGGGGTAGGGGTTGGCCTAGAAAGGGTTGGAGGGAGGAGGTAAAGGAGGTTTTGTGTGCAAGGGGCATAGACTTCCAGCAAGTGTGCGTGAGTGTATTTGATAGGAGTGAATGGAGACAAATGGTTTTTAATACTTGATGTGCTGTTGGAGTGTGAGCAAAGTAACATTTATGAAGGGATTCAGGGAAACCGGCAGGCCGGACCTGAGTCCTGGAGATGGGAAGTACAGTGTCTACACTCTGAAGGAGGGGTGTTAATGTTGCAGGTTTTATAACTGTAGTGTAAAGCACCCTTCTAGCAAGACAGTGATGGAGTGAATGATGAAAGTTTTTCTTTTTCGGGCCACCCTGCCTTGGTGGGAATCGGCCGATGTGTTAATAAAATAAGATAACAGATATATCGTATCATTATTTAGTTGTAGCTAAAGTTAGAGTAAGATGGTGCAAAAGGCCAAGGGCAACAGCAGGTAAGAGAGAGGTGAAGGTTTATAAACTAAGGGGGGAGGAAGTTAGGGTAAGATATAAGCAACTATTGGGAGAAAGTTGCTCAAATAAAAGTACAGGTAGTATGGGGGCTGAAGAAGGGTGGGATAGTTTTAAAAAGGCAGTGTTAGAATGCAGAGCAGAAATTTGTGGTTGGAGAAGAGTGAGTGCAGGAGGAAAGAGAAGTGATTGGATGAATGATGAGGTAAAGGGTGTGATAAAAGAAAAAGGTTGCGAATGAAAGATTTTTAGAGAGCAGAAGTGATATAAGAAGGGTGGAGTACTTGAAGAGTAAAATTGAGGTGAAGAGAGTGGTGAGGGAGTGCAAAAGGAGAGCAAATGATGGAGTGGGTGAGGCGCTGTCAACAAATTTTGCTAAAAAAGCAAATTTTTTTGAGTGAAATAAATTGGTCAAGAAAGTCTAGGGAATGAATGAATTTGGCAGTTAAAAAACAATAGGGGAGTTAGTAGATGGGGAACTTGAGCTACATACTGGGAAGATGGAGGGAATATTTTGAGGAACTGTTAAATGCTGATGAAGAGGGAGGCAGTAATTTCATGCATTGGCCAAGGAGGTATAACATCTTTTAGGAGTGAAGAAGAGCCAGAAGTGAGTGTGGGGGAGGTGACTGAAGCATTAGGTAGAATGAAAGAGGGTAAAGCAGCTGGAACTGATGAGATCATGAGAGAAATGTTAAAAGCAGGGGGAAGGGGAGGGGGGAATAGAGTTGGAGTGATACTTTTGTTCAATAAATGTTTGAAGGAGAAGAATGTACCTAGAGATTGGCAGTGTGTATAATTCTTTTATACAAGGGAAAGAGGGACAAAAGTGATTATAAGACTAATTATTATTCTTCTTCTTTCAACATACTGGCCGTATCCCACAGAAGCAGGGTGGCCCATAAGAGAAACATGAGTTTCTCTTTTTGACTTCAGTAATGTATACAGGAGAAGGGGTTACTAGCCCCTTGCTCCTGGCATTTTAGTCACCTCTTATGACATGCACGGCTTACAGAGGAAGAATTCTGTTCCACTTCCCCATGGAGATAAGAGGAAATAAACAAGAACAAATAAGAAAATAGAAGAGAACCCACAGGGGTGTGTGTGTGTGTATATATGTGTTTGTACATGCATGTGCAGTGTGACCTAAGTGTAAGTAGAAGTAGCAAGACGTACCTGAAATCTTTCGTGTTTATGAGACAGAAAAAAGACACCAGCAATCCTACCATCATGTAAAACAATTACAGGCACTTGTGTTACACTCACTTGGTAGGACGGTAGTACCTCCTTGTGCGGTTGCTGTCTACCAACCTACTACCTATTATTATAAAAATTATAGGGGAATAAGTTTACTGAGTTAACCCTTTCTCCTGTATACATTACTAAACTTAAGAAGAAACTTTTGTTTTACTTTTTGGGCCACCCTGATTCGGTGGGATATCGCTGATTTGTTAAGAGAAATTTACTGAGTATACCAAGTAGGATTATTATTGAGAGAATTAGAGGTAAGACAGAGAGCAAGACTGCAGATGAACAAGGACACTTTAGAATGGGCAGGGGATGTGTAGATCAAGTGTTTACATTGAAGCATATAAGTGAACAATATTTAGATAAAGGTAGGGAAGTTTTCATTGCATTTAAGGATTTAGAAATGGCATAGAGGAGCAATGTTGCAGATTTTTTAAGTATATGGATTAGGTAGTAAGTTACTAAATGCTGTAAAGAGTTTTTATGAAGATAGCGAGGCTCAGGTTAGGGTATGTAAGAGAGAGGGAGATTACTTTCCAGTAAAAGTATTCCTTAGACAGGGATGTGTAATGTCACCATGGTTATTTAACATATTTACAGATGGAGTTGTAAAAGAGGTAAATGCAAGGGTGTTGGGGAGAGGGGTGAGATTAAATTATAGGAATCAAATACAAAATAGGAGTTGACACAGTTATGTTTTACTGATGATACTGTAGTTTTGGGAGATTCTAAAGAGAAGTTGCAAAGGTTAGTAGACAAGTTTGGGAGGGCATGTAAAGAAAGTTTAAAGTGAGCAAAGTTAAGAGTAAGGCAATGAGGGTATCAAATGAGTTAGGATAAGAAAAACTGGATTTCACATTGGAGGGAGAGAGTATGAAAAAAGTGAATGTGTTTGGATATATGGGAGCAGAGTTGTCAGCAGATGGGTTTATGAAGGATGAGGTTAACAATACAACTGATGAAGGAAAAAAGGTGAATGGTGCATTGAGGTGTCTGTGGAAACAAAACACGTTATCCAAGGAAACAAAGAAGGGAATGTGCAAGAGTATAGTCTTACCAACATTCTTATATGGGTGTGAAGCATGGGTTGTAAATGCTGCAGTGAGAAGGAGACTGGAGGCAGTGAAGACGTCATGTCTAAGGGCAATCCGTGGTGTAAATATTATGCAGAGAATTCATAGTGTGGAAATTGGATGGTGTGGAGTTACAAAAGGTATTATTCAGAGGGCTGAAGAGGGGTTACTGAGGTGGTTTGGTCATTTAGAGGATGGAACAAAATAGAATTACTTGGAGGGTGTATAAATCTGTAGTGGAGGGGAGGAGGGGTAGGGGTCATCCTAGAAAAGGATGGAGGGAGAGAGTAAAAGAGGTTTTGTATGCAAGGGGCCTGGACATGCAGCAGGCATATATGAGCATGTTAGATAAGAATGAATGGAGACCAATGGTTTTTGAGACCTTATGAGCTGTTGGAGTATGAGCAGGGTAATATTTTGTAAAGGGATTCAGGGAAACCAGTTAGTCTGACTTGAGTCCTGGAGGTGGGAAGTATAATGCATGCACTTTGAAGGAGAGGTTTGGAATATTGGCTGTTTGGAGTGACTACTAAACTGTCATATCTGGGCACCTCTGCAGTTATTATGATTGAATGATGGTAAAAAAAAAAAAAAAAAAAAAAAAAAAGATAAATGATTGTGAAAGTGTTACTTTTTTTTTTTTTAGGTCATCCTGCCTTGGTAGGAGACAACCGAAGTTCTATTAAAAAAAAAAGTTATGAATGGTGTCAAAATATTTACAATGTCCCTCGTACAGCACTAAAAACTGAAAGAATCCTACTTCATTACTTACATATTTCCCTAAAATTCTATATATGTCTGACAGCGCTGCTCCAGTTTCATCATCACAAGGGTTCAAAGATAAAGATTTTTCGTAGCACTTGACAGCTTTTTCCATTACATCCTGGCGACGGAATATGTGTCCCAAATACAAGAATGCTTGTCCAAGTTTTGAATCCAGTTTTCCAGCTCTCATGCAGCTTATCTGAGCATTCTTAAGATCTCCTTTTTCAAAATACACTCGACCTAACTCCAGGTGAGCTTCTGCACATTCTGGGTGTTCCTGCAAATTTCGAAAAGATAGCAATGGTTCACTGATGCTTTAAAAATTAGACCAAATCTTTAAAAAAAATTAAAGCTGAAGGCCTTGGTGCATACATTACATGAAAAGTTTCAGAGGTGGCATGAAAAACTGAAAAATAAAATTTTACATTACAAGAAATAATAACCTCTACAATGCAATGGTTCATTTAAATATCCCACATAATGCTTTTAACAGAATCATTCAACAGTATATACCACTCTAAATTGTTATGGCTTCTACTTGATTCATATCATGATTTAACTGTAGAAAAAATTATGTACAGCAGCTTTAATTTTTAAGAAAATAATTTGATAAAAAGTCTGTATAATGAAAAATATTTTGGAAAACATCACATTTTAGAAACATATTAAAGAGTTCATTTGTTAAAGCTCATGTGCTAAGTATGATAAATTTCACAGCATTCCATAATCTTTCTTACCTTACCGAAATACAGTCGAGCACTATCATTTAATGTACTAAAGATCAATTGGCTTTCTTTTTTCATTAAAGCTTTCAAGAGATTTTTAAGTTTCAAATAGTTTTGATTTCATTTAATGCACTAAAGATCAATTGGCTTTCTTTTTTCATTAAAGCTTTCAAATAGTTTTGATTTCTCGAGGGTCCACTGTGCGTATTACATTAGCAATAGAACAAGGCATTAAAAAAACAAAACAAAAAAAAGTAAAATACACACACAGTACACTCATTACTTACCTCAAAATATTTTTAGTCTTAATGTAGGGTGAGAGGTGATTAGTGTTCATTTTAACCCTTCGATCGAATATCAAAATGGTATACAATACCGACAAGTTGGTAGGTAAGACACACAGGCAACATTTAGGCAACTTTATTCCAACCCTTTGACTGTTGCAAGCCCCTTTCTGAAACTGTCATTCTATGTCGAAAAATTTTTGGAAAAATAAAAAATTATTTTTTCTTATGAAATGATAGTGAATCTTTTCCCAATGGTAATGACACCAAAAGTGCAAAATTTTATCAAAAACTTACGGAATTACGCTCCCGCGAAGTTAGCAATCTCGGCGACATATATGCTTTGGCGATTTCGCTGACTTTGAGCCCTATTTTCGGCCAATTCCATTGTTCCAGTCGACCAAACCCATAGCTATTTCTTTAGAACTCCATTTTTTTTCTATCACTTGAGTACAAGAAACTGCCCATTTACCGATTTCAACTACCCAATAAAGTGGTCAGAAATTGGCAATTTGGCCAATTTCACATAAATTAAAAAACATGCCAGTTTCAAAATAGGGTCCAGAATAAACAATGCATACACTCTTAGCACTAAAATAACATATCCTCTGTTCATTAGTCATGTCTCTAGGCCCCTCTTATATTACTCTTGCTTTCCATTTTGATTTTTTCTTCACATAAAAAGCAGACTTACTGTTATACAGACTATTGCATTATGGTAAAAATGGTATAAATAATATCAGTGCACTAGTGAAAGAATATTAGACTCCCCAGTTGACGTGTACTGGACGCGTGGTGTGATTTGCTTACTCTTGAACACTGGTAAAATTGAACATTTCTGCTACTTTGAACTCAATTTCATCATGAAAATAATCAAAATCATCTCTATTTCTGTAATATGTTTTCCGTGCCATCAAATGAAACCAAGAAAACGAGAATACAAAAGTAAATACTATACAAAAATACACCTCAAAGTCAGCATTTTAATCCAAAAACGCGGTGGGAGTTTTTTTTTTCTCATCATGCACTGCGTGCTGCAGGATTTTTTATACAGTGCACACTGACCACACAGACCCATTCTCTCAGATATGGGCCTACCAGCTTTCTCCTGCTTGATCTGAAGCCGCTAGAATTTTTTTTTTTTCCAACAAGTTGGCCGTCTCCCACCAAGGCAGGGTGACCCAAAAAGAAAGAAAATCCCCAAAAAGAAAATACTTTCATCATCATTCAACACTTTCACCTCACTCACACATAATCACTGTTTTTGCAGAGGTGCTCAGAACACAACAGTTTAGAAGCATATACATAGAAAGATACACAACATATACCTCCAAACTGCTAATATCCCAAATCCCCTCCTTTAGAGTGCAGGCACTGTACTTCCCATTTCCAGGACTCAAGTCCGGCTATATAAAAATAACTGGTTTTCCAGAATCCCTTCACCAAATATTACCCTGCTCACACTCCAACAGATCGTCAGGTCCCAAATACCATTCGTCTCCATTCACTCCTATCGAACACGCTCATGCACGCCTGCTGGAAGTCCAAGCCCCTCGCCCACAAAACCTCCCTTACCCCTTCCTTCCAACCTTTTCGAGGATGACCCCTACCCCGCCTTCCTTCTCCTACAGATTTAAATGCTCTCCATGTCATTCTACTTTGATCCATTCTTTCTAAATGACCAAACCACCTCAACAACCCCTCTTCAGCCCTCTGACTAATACTACTTTTATTAACTCCACACCTTCTCCTAATTTCCACACTCCGAATTTTCTGCATAATATTTACACCACACATTGCCCATAGACAGGACATCTCCACTGCCTCCAACCGCCTCCTCGCTGCTGCATTCACAACCCAAGCTTCACACCCATATAAGAGTGTTGGTTAGTACTACTATACTTTCATACATTCCCTTCTTTGCCTCCATAGATAACGTTTTTTGACTCCACATATACCTCAACGCACCACTCACCTTTTTTCCCTCATCAATTCTATGATTAACCTCATCCTTCATAAATCCATCCGCCGACACGTCAACTCCCAAGTATCTGAAAACATTCACTTCTTCCATACTACTCCTCCCCAATTTGATATCCAATTTTTCTTTATCTAAATCATTTGATATCCTCATCACCTTACTCTTTTCTATGTTCACTTTCAACTTTCTACCTTTACACACACTCCCAAACTCATCCACTAATCTTTGCAATTTTTCTTTAGAATCCCCCATAAGCACAGTATCATCAGCAAAAAGTAACTATGTCAATTCCCATTTTGTATTTGATTCCCCATAATTTAATCCCACCCCTCTTCTTTTACAACCCCATCTATAAATATATTAAACAACCATGGTGACATTACACATCCCAGTCTAAGACCTACTTTTACCGGGAAGTAGTATCCCTCTCTTCTACACACCCTAACCTGAGCCTCACTATCCTCATAAAAACTCTTTACAGCATTTAGTAACCTACCACCTATTCCATATACATGCAACATCTGCCACATTGCTCCCCTATCCACTCTATCATATGCCTTTTCTAAATCCATAAATGCAATAAAAACTTCCCTACCTTTATCTAAATACTTTTCACATATATGCTTCAATGTAAACACTTGATCTACACATCCCCTACCCGCTCTGAAACCTCCTTGCTCATCCGCAATCCTGCATTCTGTCTTACCTCAAATTCTTTCAATAATAACCCTACCGTACACTTTTCCTGGAATACTCAATAAACTTATTCCTCTATAATTTTTACAATCTCTTTTGTCCCCCTTCCCTTTATGTAAAGGGACTATACATGCTCTCTGCCAATCCCTAGGTACCTTCCCCTCTTTCATACATTTATTAAACAAAAGTACCAACCACTCCAACACTATATCCCCCCCTGCTTTTAACATTTCTGTCATGATCCCATCAGTTCCAGCTGCTTTACCCCCTTTCATTCTATGTAATGCCTCATGTAGCTCCCCCCCACTTACCTTCTGCTCTTCTTCACTCCTAAAAGATGGTATACCTCCCTGGCCAGTGCATGAAATTACCGCCTCCCTTTCTTCCTCAACATTTAAAAGTTCCTCAAAATATTCTCGCCATCTACCTAATACCTCCCTCTCCCTATCTACTAACTCCCCTACTCTGTTTTTAATTGAAAAATCCATACGTTCCCAAGGCTTTCTTAACTTGTTTAACTCCCAAAATTTTTCTTATTTTCATTAAAATTTCTTGACAGTGCCTCTCCCACTCTTTCATCTGCTCTCCTTTTGCACCCTCTCACCACTCTCTTCACCTTTCTTTTACTCTCCATATACTCTGCTCTTCTTATAACACTTCTGCTTTGTAAAAACCTCTCATAAGCTAACTTTTCCTCTTTTATCACACCCTTTACTTCATCATTCCACCAATCACTCCTCTTTCCTCCTGCCCCCCACCCTCCTATAACCACAAACTTCTGCCCCACATTCTAATACTGCAATTTTAAAACTCATCCAACCCTCTTCAACCCCCCACTACTCATCTTTGCACTAGCCCACCATTCTGCCAATAGTAGCTTATATCTCACCCGAGCTTCCTCCTCCCTTAGTTTATACACTTTCACTTCCCTCCTACTTGTTGTTACCACCTTTCTCTTGTCCCATCTATCTCTTACTCTAACTGTAGCTACAACTAAATAATGATCCGATATATCAGTTGCCCCTCTATAAACATGTACATCCTGGAGCCTACCCATTAACCTTTTATCCACCAATACATAATCTATCAAACTACTTTCATTACGTGCTACATCATACCTTGTATATTTATTTATCCTCTTTTTCATAAAATATGCATTACTTATTACCAAATCTCTTTCTACACATAGCTCAATTAAAGGCTCCCCATTTACATTTACCCCTGGCACCCCAAATTTTCCTACTACTCCCTCCACAACATTTTTACCCACTTTAGCATTGAAATCCCCAACCACAAGTACTCTCACACTTGGTTCAAAACTCCCCATGCATTCACTTAACATTTCCCAAAATCTCTCTCTCTCTCCTCTACACTTCTCTCTTCTCCAGGTGCATATACACTTACTATAACCCACTTTTCACATCCAACCTTTATTTTACTCCACATAATCCTTGAATTAATACATTTATAGTCCCTCTTTTCCTGCCATATCTTATCCTTAAACATTATTGCTACTCCTCCTTTAGCTCTAACTCTATTTGAAACCCCTGAACTAATCCCATTTATTCCTCTCCACTGAAACTCTCCCACCCCCATTAGGTTTGTTTCACTTCAAGCCAGGACATCCAGCTTTTTCTTGTTCATAACATCCACAATCATCTCTTTCTTATCATTTGCACAACATCCACACACATTCAGACTTCTCACTTTGACAATTTTCTTCTTATTCTTTTTAGTAATCTTTACAGAAAAATGGGTTACTAGCCCATTGTTCCTGGCATTTTAGTTGACTTTTACAACACGCATGGCTTACGGAGGAAAGATTCTTATTCCACTTCCCCATGGATATAAAAGGAAAAGTAATAAGACCAAGAACTATTAAGATAAAATCAAAGAAAACTCAGACGAGTGTGTATAAATAAACGTGTACATGTATGTGTAGTGTGACCTAAGTGTAAGTAGAAGTAGCAAGAATTATTGAGTATATATACCTCCGAAACACTGGCTCGTAAGACGTATATGTATAGCTGAAACAATCAAAGGGTTAAGAGGTTAGATGTGGCAGGTATGGTTGCCAGGCAACCCCACCCAACCTACACGTAATATACTTCGACATTTAAAGAGCCCTAGTGCGATAACATGGATACAGTGTACACTCATTACTTACCTTAAAATATTTGCAGTCTAAATGGTCTTAATAATGGGTGCAAGATGAATAGTAGGGTATGTAGGTATCATATACAGTGGACCCCAGACCAACGAAGGCATCGTCTAACGATAAAATTCCTAACGAAGTGTTTTAGCGTAAAAAATTTGGCCCGAGCAACGATGAAAAACTCGACTAACAACATTTGTCCCGAATGCGTCCACATGTCCGTGTGGCCTGAGTGCGCCTTAACTGCCCTGCCTTCAGTTAGCGTGCAAGTGTTTATAAGCCAGTGGGGTCGCTTCCATTCGGTACATTTTGTATTATTCCAGTGTTTTAGTGCTTGTAACTGCTCAATAAGCCACCATGGGCCCAAAGAAAGCTTCTAGTGCCAACCCTGTGGTAAAAAGGGTGAGAATACAATATAAATGATGGAGATAATCACAAACTATGAAAGTGGAGAGCGTGTCTCCGAGCTGGCCAGGTTGTGTAACAAACCCCAATCAACCATCGCTACTATCTTGGCCAACAGAAAGGCAATCAAGGAAGCTGTTGTTGCGAAAGGTGCAAGTATGTTTTCGAAACAGATATTGCAAGTACTCGAAGATGTTGAGAGACTGTTGTTGTTGTGGATAAACAAAAAGAAGATATCAGGAGATAGTATCTCTCAATCATATGTGAAAAGGCAAGGCAGTTGCATGACGATTTCATTAAAAAATGCCTGCAACTAGTGACGTTACTGAATTAAAGGCCAGCAAAGATTGGTTTGAGAGATTTAAGAATTGTAGTGGCATACACAGTGTGGTAAGGCACGGTGAAGCTGCCAGTTCAGACCAAAAAGCGGCTGAAAAACATGAATTCAAGGAGTACATAGACACTGAAAATCAGAACCCCAATAAGTGTTTGTGACAAAACAGGCCTGTTTTGGAAGAAAATGCCAAACAGGACATACACTACACAGGAGGAAAAAGCACTGCCAGGACACAAGCCTATGAAAGACAGGGTAACTCTGATGTTGTGTAGTAGTGCTAGTGGGGATTGTAAAGTGGAGCCTCTACTCGTGTATCACTCTGAAACTCCCAGTGTTTTCAAGAAAAACAATGTCGTCAAGGCTAATTTCTGTGTGATGTGGAGGGCAAACAGTAAGGCAAGGGTCACTAGGGAGATTTTCTATGATTGGTTTTATCATGTGTTTGGCCCCACTGTGAAAAATTACCTCCTGGAAAATAAATTGGACCTCAAGTGCCTCCCAGTATTAGACAATGCTCCTGCTCATCCTCCAGACTTGCCAGAGCGAATTTCGGGGGACCTGAGTTTTATCAAAGTTAAGTTCTTGCCTCCTAATACCACTCCTCTCCTCCAGCCCATGGACCAGCAGCAGCAGATCATTTAAAATTTCAAAAAACTGTACACCAAAGCAATGTTTCAAAAGTGCTTTGAAATGGCCTCAGACACTCGACTGACCTTAAGAGAGTTTTGGAAAGATCACTTTAGTATCCTCAATTGCATAAACCTTATAGGTATGGCTTGGGAGGGAGTGACCAACAGGACCTTGAACTCTGCTTGGAGGAAATTGTGGCCAGAATGTGTACAAGAGGGATTTTGAAGGGTTTGGGGCTATCCTCAGGAGACTATGCCAGTTGTGGAATCTATTGTGGCATTGGGGAAGTCCATGGGGTTGGAGGTTAGTGGGGAGGATGTGGAAGAGTTGGTGGAGGACGACGATGAAGAACTAACCACTGATGAGCTGCGAGAGCATCTGCAACAGCAAGAGGCCACAACTGAGGAAATTGCTTCAGAGGAGGGGAGAGAGAAATTGAGGAAATTGCCTTCTTCAAAGATTAAGGAAATTTGTGCAAAGTGGGTTGACGTCCAAACCTTTATGGATGAAAATCACCCTGACAGCTATTGCAAGCTGTGCTGGTGACTTTTACAATGACAATGTTATGGCCCATTTTAGGAAAATCTTAAAGGAACATGAGGTACAGAGCTCTATGGACAGATTTTTGGTGCGAAAGAGGTCAAGTGACTCTCAAGTTTTTCCCAGTGGCATTAAAAGAAGAAGGGAAGTAACCCCAGAAAAGAACTTGGTACTTAAAGTCCTTATGAAAGGGGATTCCCCTTATAAACAATAATACACCCCCATCTCCCCTCCTCCCATCTCATCACTCATCACTACATCTTCAATAAAGGTGTCACTTATTCTTCATTTAGTGCAGTATTAATTGTGCATGTATCCTCCTCTTTCTGTGTAGGAAAATGTATATTTCATGTGAAAAAAAATTTCATACTTTTGGGTGTCTGGAACAGATTAATTGGATTTCAATTATTTCTTATGGGGAAAAATTAATTCAACTAACGATAAATTCGCCTAAAGATAAGCTCTCTGGAACGGATTAATATCGTTGGTCAAGGGTCCACTGTAGTGTGGTATTATCGTAACCCTATCTGGTCACCCCACCCACACATTAAATACTAGGCATTTAAAGCACCCTAGAGCAATAAAATGCATATACATTAAACTCATTACTTACCTTAAAATACTTGTAGTCTTAATGTAGGCGAGAGGTGAGTAAACAAGATAAATGAATAAACAAGAGAGAGAATGAGTACATGAGAGAGGACAGCATGAGTTATGTAATCAAATCAGCTGGACAGATGTGGTTTTAGTTCACTCCCGGAAGCCATCTAGAAAAACATCTCATATTTATGTTAATTTATTCTACTGTGGGTATATTTATCATGTTTATATGTTACGTAGCATGTTTATTATATAATTTTGAAAAAATATCATAGATGGATTAAGTAAAATGTCTATATTAACATTTTATATGATATTTAATGCACCTCAGTGATCATTATTAATATGGCACCTGCAAAACTAATAAGACACTTAGTGATTTTAATGTGTACCTGCATGCCAGTACTGTGTAAGTTTACTTAAGTAAAGGTACACACAAGTATAATTATCAGAGTACACCCTGCCTCGGTGGGAGATGGCCGACTTGTTGAGAAAAACAAATATAAAATATGAAATAATTTTGGAAAGTTTCCGAACATAATGGAGAGAGACAGTGCTCACGGAGAATGTAAACAAACTAGGTGGCGCGCGCCATACTAGAAAGATGGGGAGCCACATAGTTTCGGTCATAATTAGAAATCGCCGTATTAGCGAAATGCCAAAAAGCGAAATGCTGTAAAGCAGGGCCCTACTGTATATTAAACTCTATGCAGTATTAACTTGGAAGTACAATATTTGTCAAAAATACAGACGAGCTTAGACATTTGGTTGCCAAACTTCTGGTACTCGAAACACTGTACCAGGAAGGTGATATACAAATAGTGTATAATGAAAGGTGAGAAACCGCTTGGAATGAAAAATTAAACACAGATTAAAATTAGATCTGTATAATTCAGCCTCAGCCAAAGACCCTCTTCAGCAGATGACTGAGGCAGAATATACATTTCTCTTCATTTTTTTTTTTTACTGCATTTCATTTTTAATTCCAAGTGGTTCCTCACCTTTCATTGATAAGTATTTATGACTCAATGCATAATGGTTAATATTTAAATTACCTGAACAAGCTCATCCAAGATTTGAAATGCTTCTTGCCTCTTTCCTTGAGCACGATAAAGACAAGCTGAGACGAGCTTCAACTTAAACTCTTCTCCAAAGGCCTCCTCCAACTTTTCAAGGTCATCTTCTGCCAGGTCAAATTCTTGCAACTTGATTCTGGATTTGATTAACAGCACACCACAGTCTAAACTTGTGCATGCATACTGTGGAAAGAAACATTTTTTTAAAGAATATCACAATACTGTATCTGGAACAATTCAGAACTACCTAACAAACTGGACATGAAACTCAAGACAATATTTCAATCCATCCTGCACCACTGTCTACTAATAAAAGTGACTCAATATTAAGTCAACAACAATAAAGAATAGAGAGAAATGGTACAAAATACTGACAGTGGATAAAGACACAAATGCAGGATTCTAGAATCATGACTAATCAGCCTATCAAACAACTCAACCAGAACAACAGCTTCTACAACACAGTCGAACCTCTTGCCAGGAAACTTCTTGATCACTATCACACATAGCAAGAGGTCATAGTATGAAGGACCACTGCAGCAGACCTACTGGCCCAAGCTAGGCAGGTCCCTCTCGAATCCAACCACTTTTCAGCCATATATTTTTCCAACATGTCATTAGTCACCAATAAGTCAGGTTCAACATATCTCACCTGACCCTTCACATCACTACAGTCACTATATATAAGCACATCACCTCTCCCCAGGGATTTGATACAGCCCACTGTATGGGCAAAACATTGTCAATAAAAGACTGCATTTTACTGCATTTGGGTCTTCATATAACAATAAGAATATAATGTAATATGTATGTTTAAACTTTAGTGTTAAAGATGAACTTCGATTTTTTTTTTTTTTTTTTTAACAAACCGGCTATATCCCACCAAAGCAGGGTGACCTAAAAAGAAAAACTAAAGTTTCTCTTTTTAAATTTAGTAAAGTGTACAGGAGAAGGGGTTACTAGCCCCTTGCTCCCAGCATTTTAGTCACCTATTACAACAAGCATGGCTTTCAGAGGAAGAATTCTTTTCCACTTTCCCATGGAGATAAGGGGAAATAAAGAAGAACAAGAATTATTAAGAAAATAGAAGCAAACCAGATGAGTGTGTACATGTGTGTGTACATGTGTGTATACATGCATGTGTAGTGTGACCTAAGTAGAAGTACTAAGATATACCTGTTATCCCACCTGTTTATGTATCAGAAAAAAAGACACCAGGAATAGTACAATTATGTAAAACAATTACAGGTTTCCATTTCACACTCACTTGGCAGGACGGTAGTACCTCCCTGCGTGGTTGCTGTCTACCAACCTACTACCTTCAGAAAAATAATTTTTTTTTTTCTGAACACACTGGCCGATTCCCACCAAGGCAGGGTGGCCCAAAAAAGAAAAACTTTCATCATCATTCACTCCATCACTGTCTTGCCAGAGGGCAGCTTTACACCACTACAGTTATAAAACTGCAACATTAACATCCCTCCTCCAGGACTCAAGTCCAGCCTACCGGTTTCCCTGAATCCCTTCATAAATGTTCCTTTGCTCACACTCCAACAGCACGTCAAGTATTAAAAACCATTTGTCTCCATTCACTCCTATCAAATAAGCTCACACATGCTTGCTGGAAGTCCAAGCCCCTCACACACAAAACCTCATTTACCCCCTCCCTCCAACCCTTTCTAGGCTGACCCCTACCCCGCCTTCCCTCCACTACTGGTTTATACACCCTCGAAGTCATTCTGTTTTATTCCATTCTCTCTACATGTCTGAACCACCTCAACAACCCATCCTCAGCCCTCTGGATAGTAGTTTAGGTAATCCCCACACCTTCTCCCAATTTCCAAACTACGAATTCTCTGCATTATATTCACACCACGCACTGCCCTCAGACATGACATCTCCACTGCCTCCAGCCTCCTCCTCGATGCAACATTCATCACCCATGCTTCACACCCATACAAGAGTGTTGGTACAACTATACTCTCATACATTCCCCTCTTTGCTTCCATGGACAAAGTTCTTTGTCTCCTCAGACTCCTAAGTGCACCACTCACCCTTTTCCCCTCATCCTTCTATGATTCATCTCATCCTTCATAGACCCATCTGCTGACATGTTCACTCCTAAATATCTGAATACATTCACCATTTCCATACTCTCTCCCTCCAATCTGATATCCAATCTTACATCACCTAATCTTTTTGTTACCCTCAAAACCTTACTCTTTCCTATATTCACTTTTAATTTTCTTCTTTTACATATCCTACCAAATTCATCCACCAACCTCTGAAACTTCTCTTCAGAATCTCCCTAAAGCAGTGTCATCAGCAAAGAGCAACTATGACAACTCCCACTTTGTGTTTGATTCTTTATCTTTTAACTCCACACCTCTTGCCAAGACCCTAGCATTCACTTCTCTTACAACCCCATCAATATATATATTTAATAACCACGGTGACATCACACATTCTTGTCTAAGGCCTACTTTTACTGGGAAATAATCTCCCTCTCTCCTACATACTCTAACCTGAACCTCACTATCCTTGTAAAAACTCTTCACTGCTTTCAGTAACCTACCTCCTTATATCATACACCTGCAACATCTGCCACATTGCCCCCTATCCACCCTGTCATATGCCTTTTCTAAATCCATAAATGCCACAAAAACCTCTTTACCCTTATCTAACACTGTTCACCTATATTTTACTGTAAACACTTGGTCTACACACCCCCTACCTTTCCTGAAGCCTCCCTTTTCATCTGCTATCCTACTCTGTCTTACTCTTAATTCTTTCAATAATAACTCTACTATACACTTTACCAGGTATACTCAACAGACTTATTCCCCTCTAATTTTTGCACTCTCTTTTATCCCCTTTGCCTTTATACAAAGGAACTATGCATGCTCACTGCCAATCCCTAGGTACCTTACCCTCTTCTATACATTTATTAAACAATAGCACCAACCACTCCAAAACTATATCCCCTCCTGCATTTAACATTTCTATCTTTATCCCATCAGTCCCTACTGCCTTACCCCCTTTCATTCTACCCACTGCCTCACGAACTTCCCCCACACTCACGACTAGCTCTTCCTCACTCCTACAAGATGTTATTCCTCGTTGCCCTATACACGAAATCACAGTTTCCCTATCTTCATCAACATTTCTCAATTCCTCAAAATATTCCCTCCATCTTCCTGATACATAAGAACATAAGAACATAAGAACGATGGAACACTGCAGAAGGCCTACTGGCCCATGCGAGGCAGGTCCAAGTCTCCTACCGGCTTAAGCCAATGCACCCAACCTAGTCAGGTCAGGTCACAATGACTTAAGGGAGGAACACGGCAACCGACCTGGTAGCACAAGCTATCAGGTCTAACTCACACCCACCCACATCTACTCATGTATTTATCCAACCTATTTTTAAAGCTACACAACGTTCTGGCCTCTATAACGGTACTTGGGAGTTTGTTCCACTCATCCACAACTCTATTACCAAACCAGTACTTTCCTATATCCTTCCTGAATCTGAATTTTTCCAACTTAAAACCATTGCTGCGAGTCCTGTCTAGGCTAGATATTTTCAGCACACTATTTACATCCCCTTTATTTATTCCTGTCTTCCATTTATACACCTCAATCATATCCCCCCTAATTCTACGTCTTTCTAGAGAGTGCAGTTTCAGGGCCCTTAGTCTATCCTCATAGGGAAGGTTTCTGATACATGGGATCAACTTTGTCATCCTCCTTTGTACATTTTCCAGAGAATTTATATCCATTCTGTAATACGGTGACCAAAACTGTGCAGCATAATCTAAATGAGGCCTAACCAAGGATGTATAGAGTTGAAGAACAACCTGAGGACTCCTATTATTTATGCTTCTTGTTATGAAGCCAAGGATTCTATTAGCTTTATTGCGAACACTTATGCACTGTTGTCTTGGTTTCAGATTACTGCTAACCAGAACTCCTAAATCTTTTTCGCAATCTGTAATATTAAGATCTACATTATTTAGTTTATATGTGGCATGGTTATTGTCCTGTCCAACAATTAGAACTTTGCATTTGTCTATATTAAACTGCATCTGCCACTTCTCCGCCCACTGCATCAGTCTATTCAAATCTTCCTGGAGTGCTCGAATGTCCTCGTCAGAATGAATTCGACGGCCTATTTTGGTGTCATCGGCAAACTTGCCAATGTCGCTCTTTATGCCCTCATCTATGTCTTTTATGTAGATTGTGAACAGCAGGGGGCCCAACACTGACCCCTGTGGAACACCGCTCGTGACGCTTCCCCACTCTGATTTCTCCCCATTTATGCAAACTCTCTGCTGCCTATTTGTCAACCATGCCTCTATCCAGGAAAAAATCTCTCCTCCTATTCCATGTGCTTTAATTTTCATCAATAGTCTCTGATGTGGGACCCTGTCAAAAGCCTTACTGAAGTCCATATACACAATATCATATTCATTACCATGATCTACCTCCTCAAATACCTTAGTGAAAAAAGTTAATAAATTCGTAAGGCAGGAACGCCCCTTTGTAAAACCATGCTGAGATTCGTTGATTAATTTATGCTTTTCAAGGTGGCTACGAACTGCCTCGGCAATTATTGATTCCATAAATTTTCCCACTATGGAGGTTAGGCTTATTGGTCTATAGTTCGAAGCTAAGGACCTGTCACCTGTTTTGAAAATAGGTATCACATTTGCCATTTTCCACTTATCTGGCACCATGCCAGTTTGTAGTGATATGTTGAAAAGATTAGCCAAAGGTGTGCTAAGCTCCTCTTTACATTCCTTTAGAACCCTTGCATACAGTTCATCAGGGCCTGGGGATTTGTTAGGTTTTAATTTATCTATTTGCCTAAGGACCATGTCACTTGTGACCCTAATAGTGCACAGTTTATTATCGTCCTGTTCTATATAATTTATCATTACTGGAATATCGCTGGTATCCTCCTGTGTAAAAACTGAGAGGAAGTATGTGTTAAAAATTCTACACATTTCCTTATCACTGTCAGTGAGCTGACCCGAGGAACTTTTGAGTGGGCCTATCTTGTCCCTGATCTTACTTCTGTATACCTGAAAGAATCCTTTTGGGTTAGTCTTCGATTCTCTTGCAATTTTAACCTCATAATCTCTTTTTGCTTTTCTAATTCCCTTTTTTATTTCTCTCTT